GGCAGGCGCTGTGCTGCTGAGCTAAATCCCCAGCCCCTTCCATTTCCTTTCGAATTCTTCCCATACCCAGTTCTCTCAGCCCTTTTTTCGCCAGGGTCTCTCACCGCACTTTATCTTAAGCAGTGTGAAGTCTTTGGCTTTCCCAAAATGAGGAATTCCTTCTGTGCTTCACATACTTGAGAGACTTTTTTCCCTGACTACAGGGCAGACAACTCAAAATCTTTCACCAGGGCTGACCAGAACTTCTCAAGGTTTCTTACCTGCTTTATGGCAAGTGATTGGCCAAAGACTTCTTTAGTCTTCCACCTATGCTAAGGGCTTAACTCTGATGGCCCTTAGTGTTGGGGAGCCTGTTTTGACTTCTTTGTGAAGTTTGAAAAGTACATCCTCAGTTGTAAAGAGTATCTGCCTTCTTTGGGGTCTCTATGATGTTTTTGAATGCCAGATTTTGTTTCTGAAGTGATTCTGCAGTCCAGGCCTGGAGGATGTTCTCACTGGCTGTTGTTCCTCCAGTTGGCCTTTCCTGTGCTAGTGTACATGCTTCTTGTGTGGCAGGGACTGCTCTGTAAATCCAGGAGGAGTGTCGGTTTTAAACCTTTGAATTCTTTATCATGGTTTCTTCTGGCTTTCAGCTGAAGACAAGGCCCGGGAGGCAGAGAGCAAAGCTCGGACATTAGAAGTACGCTTAGGTGGAGATCTCACGAGGGACTCCAGGGTAAGGCCACAGACCCATTTGGCTGTTTTCCAGTATTTCCTGGATTGAGCCCATATCCTGTGAGTCTGGGCAAATGAAATACACTTTTAAATTTGTATGGCCCATTTTCTGTAGCATGAAAGAAATCTCCAGGTATGGTTTTACATCCATGTGAGAATTAAATGTTGTAGATGTAATACAGTATTTCCTGCTGTGTGGACCTCCTCCCTTCACCTGATGTTGATGTATGTGTCCAGGTGATGTTGAGACAGGTCCAGAATACTGCCATCACGCTGCGCAGAGAAGCTGATGTCAAGAAAAGGATCAAGGAAGCCAAGCAGCGGTGAGTGCTGGAGCTATTCTTTGATCTTTTAAAATGATGTAGCCTTTGTACTGATGGTTGAGTTGCCAGTCTGTCATTAAAACTACTTTAAGATATCAGTGTTGTGATCCCAGGTACTTGTCAGATGCCCCTACAGAGGAGAGGTCTTTCTCTGAGCCCTGGGCTCTTTCCTGTACCTACAAAGGCTGGGCAGAACCAACCTTTCAAATACCAAACAGCCTTTACCAGCTCTATCACACCTTTTTACTTCTTCTTTTAATTAAAGGACATACAAAGTATTCATTGTCTAAAACTTGAAAAATAGAAAACATTTAAAAAATAAAAATTTAAAACTCCAGTATAGTTGTACCACCTACTCTCATTTTTTTATGTTGTAATAATATATTTATAATTCATTCCCTCTTTATGGGTTAGATATAGGGAATAGTGCTGTAGATTGCCCCCCCCCCCCACTGTACCGGGAATGGAACTCACGACCTTGTGCTTGCCAGGCAGGCACTGTGCTGCTGAGCTAAATCCCCAGCCCCAAAGTAATGGGTGATAAAATCTTTTTTGTTTTTTTGTTTCGTTTTGTTTTGTTTTTCTTCTGGTACCAGGAATCGAACTCACGATCTTGCACTTGCCAGGCAGGCGCTTTTGCCACTGCACTCAATCCCCAGTCCCTTAGATTGAGTTTTGAAGACTTTTTCCATTTAGAATGTGCATTAGGTCATTAAATTATCTCTGGTCCCTTGTTCCCGCTCCAGGTCTGGAGCCTTTTAGGGGTCTTGGTGTGAATTTTGATTTGTTTCTTACTGGCTTCCTTGCTATAGGCTTAGGTTTCAGATTACTTCAGTCTCATTCCACTATTCACCCATCTGCTCTTCAGATTCCAAGATTTTGTTGGCATTAATTACATGATTGTATCCCCTCTCACATGTTCTTGTGAATTTTTGCCTCTAAAAAATTAGTTTATGTCACAGTAGTGGAGTTTGGGGGTGGTATGATGATAACCTTGTGCTTATTCCACGTTAACTATCTTTGCAAAGATTGGTAGCAGCTTTGTGGTAATCTGTGTATAGTTAAATTCATCCCTGTTTTGTTACCAAAAAGGTAAATTGTATGCTGCTAATTAGGAAGCTTGGAGTCACTGCATAGTGCAGACCCATGTCAAATCTGAGAGATTACACATTGAATTAGAGACTCAGAACTTTGCTTAACATGTCTCAAGTTTAAGCTTCAGTTTAACATACCTTCATTGCCATGTTATTTGTGTGCTAATGAGTAACTGCCTGGATTTTTTGTCTTTGTTAGAGCACTCAAAGAACCTAAGGAGCTGAATTTTGTTTTTGGGGTCAATATTGAACACCGGGACCTAGATGGGATGTTTATCTACAACTGTAGCCGCTTGATCAAGATGTATGAGAAAGTGGGCCCGCAGCTAGAAGGGGGCATGTGAGTACTGCCCATGTGGAGCTTTCCAGCCCAGGAGTGTGGCGGGAGGGAGCCAGTAAAGCTGACAGAGCTGTGCTTTCCTTCTCTTTACAGGGCATGTGGTGGGGTTGTTGGGGTTGTGGATGTGCCCTACCTTGTCCTGGAGCCTACACACAACAAGCAGGACTTTGCTGATGCCAAGGAGTACCGGCACTTGCTGAGGGCAATGGGGGAGCACCTGGCACAGTACTGGAAGGACATTGGCATTGGTAATGGCGTCAGGCTGCTGGGCATTGCCCTTTCTCTTTACCACCAGTCTTTGAGATGTTCTTATGGCAAGAAAAGGTGAGTCTAGAATGAGGTGAGGCTGGCTTCTGATGTAATGTGTGACTTGGTTTTGTAGCCCAGCGTGGAATCATTAAGTTTTGGGATGAGTTTGGCTACATCTCTGCCAACTGGAACCAGCCCCCATCCAGTGATCTGCGTTACAAACGCAGGAGAGCTATGGAAATCCCTACCACCATCCAGTGCGGTAAGTTGGGTGTCTGGAACCTTTCTCTTGACTTGACTAATCCATGTAGGGTTCCACCAGGGATAGGAGTCTGTTCGGTAGTAGCCCTGTGAGCTCAGTCTTGAAGCTATACCTGTTGCTTCTCTTCTCCTGAATAAGGCAGAAGGTCACCTGACCTCTCAGCCCTCTCACTCCACAGCTTGGCTAGACTCTTTGGATTTGGTAGCAAGTTGTTTCTAGAGGAAGTGCATGACTGTGCCAGGATTCTGTTATAGGAGGGGGAGAGGCCAAGGAGTTCAGAGTCCATGACATTTAAGTTTTCATCCTTGTTGGAATCACTGTCCTTAAGAATTAATGTTGTGTATGTACAGGCAAAATTGGGACACGAGGAAGGATCTTTGTATGGAAAGTTTGGCATGTATTTGCTTCGGGTCTGGATTCCAAATATTGGGGGTCAGTGTAGCTGATGTTTGTGTGTATGTTTTCTGTGTCTCAGATTTATGTCTGAAGTGGAGGACCCTCCCTTTCCAGTTGAATTCAGTGGAAAAGGATTACCCAGACACCTGGGTTTGCTCCATGAACCCTGATCCTGAGCAAGATCGGTGAGCACTTTCTCTGACAGGGGGATTTACTCTTTGGGGTATATAATTCTGTTTCTTGAGGTCATTGCTCAAATCATACCTGTCTGGTTTGATGTATGTAGTAAGTGTCCAAGAAAGAACACTAGGTATGTATCTTGTAATGCATTTCATTTACATGCAGTGGGAACTCTGAGGTGGTTGCTTCTTTGAGAGAAAAGGGTTAGCCGAGGAAGGTCCCTGCCCCACTAGAGTCCTGTTTTGCCACAGCTTCTCCAGTGCTTTCTTTCTATAGATGTGAGGCTTCTGAACAAAAGCAGAAGGTCCCCCTGGGGACATTCAAAAAGGATCCAAAGACACAGGAAGAAAAGCAGAAGCAGCTGTCAGAGAAAATTCGCCAGCAGCAGGAGAAGCTAGAGGCCCTTCAGGTGCGTGGATCATTAGCAGTGGGGAGAACCATGGGCAGATCTTGTGCCAGGGGTCTGCTTGGGACAGGATCCTTTAGTAGTGCCCTTGGCCGCCTCAGGCTCAGTTTTACCCTCCACTCACGGAAGCATGTGCTTACCAGGGCTTTCCAACGCCAAGCTCCAGATCCAAACACTGATTTTCAAGTACACTTTGTTTATTCTTTAATTTTTTTTGTTGTTGTTGTCTTTTTGAGACAGGGTCTCACTATGCAGTTGAAGCTAGTCTTGAGCTCACTTTGTAGCTCAGGCTGGCCTCAAACCTGCAACAATCCTCCTGCTTCAGCCTCCCTGAGTGCTGGGATTACAGATGTGCACCACCACACCTGGCAATTCTTAAAAAAAAAACAAAAAATGGGGGTGGGAATATAGCTCAGTGGAATCACGCCTGCCTGGCAAGCACGAGGACCCAAGTTCGATTCTTGGTACCAAAAAAAAAAAAAAAACCACACACACACACGCACACATACCATGTTAATTTTTTAAAAAGAGAAAAATTTTAGAAGTAACTGATACTAAATATCTTACATATGCATAATACTCATAAGTATGTATTTTAAAACAGTAGTATGAAGATCATGCTATTTTTTATATATACATTTGTATATCTGTTTTTTCTTGACAATTTTTTAGAATGAATCAAAACAGTTTGCAAAATTCAGTAGCTTTTTAAAAATAACTCTTCTCAAATTATCCTCCAGAAGATGTGTTAATTTCTGTTCTTTACCAAAAACATATGAGTATTACTTACAAATATTTTTGCAAATTTGATGGGCAGAGATAAGCATTTTATAATTCTAATTTCCTTTATATTTTTAAGGTTGGACAATTTTTTTGTACTTCCACTTACATATCTGGGTTGCTTTTCTTGACTTGTCCATTTTTTTCTAGGTATGTTTTATGATTTCATATTTATTACAAAATGTCTTATTTTCTCATTGCCAAGATAAAATACCCAACATCCAAAGTTAAAGGAGGAAAGGTTTATTTGACTTACAGTTCGTGGAGGTTTTAGTCCGAAGTCTGGCTGGCTTCAGGGCATGATGGTGTGGCAGAGGGGCATCATGAAGGAGAAATAGTCCATGGCAAAAGAAGGGCAGGCAGAAGGCAGCAAGCAGCAAACAAGTAAAAAGCAATGACGGTATCCCTCTTTCTGTCCTTTATATTTAATCCAGGCTACTTACACTTAAAGGGCAGTAATACTCACACCCTTATCCCTAACACTGCACCTGCATCAATCCCAGAATTACATCCTTAATCCCAGCACCATACATGTTAGATCAAGCCACTTTGGAGTCACCTATGATTGCATGAGGCTTTTGGGGTCATCTAGATACAAGCCATGGGGTTGGGGATTTAGCTCAGCGGCACAGCGCCTGCCTGGCAAGTGCAACGTTGTGAGTTTGATTCCCGGTACCGGAAAAAAAAAAAAAAAACAACATAAATAAATAAATAGACACAAGCCATAACACAAAGTATGTTTCAGTTGGGTGTGGTAGTGCACACCTATAATCACAGCACTTGAGAGGCTGAGGCAGGAGGATACTGCGAGTTCAAGGCCAGCCTGAACTCAGCATAGTGAGACCCTGTCTCAGAAAATCAAACAAAGTATTTTTCTTTCTGGTCTCTGTGTCTTTGCAGATGTACTCTCACCAACTCAAAATGTCTTAAATGTGCCCCCTATCTGCTCAGTCCATTGTCTTTTCCAATTTGGAAAACCTTTTTCAAGTCTCCCTCATGATTAGGCTTTTTCCAACTTTTATGGTTCCTTTTATAGAAATGTAGTTCAATGACATTTTTTTCCAGTCACTCAGGTACTGGATTAACTATAGAGCATCCTGTCATTTGCTGAGTTGTATATATTTTTGTTTCCCTCATAAGAATGGGGGGCTTTTAGGAGTAGGGGTGTGGCCCAAGTTTAGTTTGCTTTGCTTTCTTTTTCTTTACTGTCCCAGACACATAGTAAGGATCTGAAAAGAGTTCAATTGAGTATAGCAAGATATACAAACAACTTCATCATCGGGTTTGCCTTGTAGAAAACCACCCCCATCCGTTCCCAAGCTGATCTGAAGAAACTGCCCTTGGAAGTGACAGCCAGACCTTCCACTGAGGTAAAGCAGGGATATGGGAGGGACTTGGGTGTCTCTGGCTGAAATCAGTATTCTAATTCTCTGGGAACTTTTTTAGGAACCTGCTCGGAGACCTCAGCGTCCTCGGTCACCACCTTTACCTGCTGTGATTAAGAATGCCCCAAGCAGACCACCTTCTCTGCAAGCTCCCAGACCAGTCAGCCAACCCCGAAAGGCTCCCATCATCAGCAATCCCCCAAAGCCTCTTGCCCTGGCAGCCCGGGTAGAGGCCAGTACCTCTAGGCTGCTTCAGCCACCTGAGGCACCCCGAAAGCCCGTGAATACTCCAGTTAAAACTGTGCCCAGAACCACTTCTCTGGTGCAGCCACTGTCATCATCTCTATTGCCAAACTCCAAGAGCTCTCGGGAGGTCCCTGCACCCAAAGCTGTCAAGACTCCAGTGGTCAAAAAGACAGAGTCACCAGTTAAACCCTCCCTGGTAAGATTCTTTGCTCCTTTGGTCCCTAGCTCTTGGGACTGAGATTGTGTCATATCAAAACTGTACTGGGGGAAGTGCGGGAAGATCACTAGATCTAAGTCTCTTCTGCTATACCCAAAGAGGGAGAGCCTAGATAGCTAAACGGACTTGGTCAGGGACATACAGCAAGTCAGTTCATTATCCAGGGAGCTCTTTACTGCTTCTTCAAGCTTTATCTGCCACAAACTTGAATCACTTCCACTGGCCTCTCACAGTGTGGGCATAGGTTGACAGCCTGGTGACAGATGGCCTTGGTGGACTGTGGCAGTGGTCAGTGTGTCAGGGAATTCACAGCCAGCTGGCCAGAGTCTAAACTGAAAAGTGGGAGTAAACTGAAAAGCTCTTGTGACAGCTTTGAACAGAGGTCCTCATGGTGCAGGGCATGTATGCTTGTGTATATAGAGAGTATTGTCAGGCAGGAATTGAGAAGAGTACCAGCCCCTCTCCAGACAGCCCCTATAGGCTGTATGAGCTCTTTCTGCATGTTGATGGCTAAACAGGGCTCCTCATACTCCCACTTTCTTCTTACTGTAGGCTACCACTGGTCGTAAGCGGAGTCTTGGGGTCTCTGATGAGGAAGAAGCTGAGGAAGAAGCTGAGAGGAGGAAGGAGAAGTGTAAGCGGGGAAAATTTGCTGTGAAGGAGGAGAAGAAGGAATCCATTGAGGTAGGGCTTGAGATGAGTTTCTCAGAGCCTCTCATCCCAGAGCCTGCAGGAGCCCCCAGCCCCCTGCAGTTTGTGCTAGCTTGTTGTTGAACCAAGCCTTCCACAAGCCCAGTTGATCTCTCCATGACTGTCAGTCACTCAGATGACTAGACCCCTATTCCTGGCACTCTGCCCTTGCCTAGTATCTTATAGGCCAGTGACTTTATAGAGTGATTTAAATTACAGCGTAAAAAAACATAAAGGTGAAAGCCGATAACCCAAAGTATCCAGTATCCCAGAGTGCCCTTTAATGGATAGAAGGATGCTCTTGACAGTCTGTTTCTTTACAGCTCTCAGACAGTGCTGGGGAAGAAGACCCAGCTGACCTCAAAAAGGCTCAGAAAGGTGAGTTTGGGGAAGTCTGTGGTAGCCCAGGTTGGAAGTAAAAGTGGACCCTTTGCCAGTAGCAGTTAAATCTGAGGGCTTAGAGGCCGCCCCCCCCCCCTCCCCGGGGCCAGGACTCTGCCGCAACAGACACAAGTCTGATACCAAGCAGAATTCTGAAGATAACTCCATCTTCATTCATGCTTGTGTTTTTTATTTTCTGATGGGGTGGGTGGGGATTGAACCAGGGCCTTACCCTACCACTGAGGCACATCCTAGCCCCATTTTTAACATTTAATTATTGCTTATTTTTAACATTTAATTCCTTGGCATTCAGCTTTGGCAGTCAACTCATCCTCCTTTTTGGCATCCTAGGGACAGATGGATAAGGAGACTGGTGGCTGGGCTGTATGTCAGCCCAGGTATAGCAGGGTCAGCGAGTCCTGACTCTATCCAAGGTCATCTTGCATGAGTGATTCTTTAATCTGATTCTTTAATTCTCAATTTCCAAATTTTCAGATAAAGGGCTACATGTGGAAGTACGTGTGAACAGGGAGTGGTACACAGGCCGTGTCACAGCTGTGGAGGTGGGCAAGAATGTGGTGCGGTGGAAGGTGAAGTTCGACTATGTGCCCACAGATACAACTCCAAGAGACCGCTGGTAAGGAATGCTTTTTTTCTGGGTGATCAGTATGACAGAAGTTGGCTAGGTCAAGGGGAGAGAAGGGTCCTCAAGCTCTGCTCTCATCAGTCTGTTCAAACAGGCCAGGACAGACGTGACACAAACTCTGTGTTCCCCATAGGGTGGAGAAAGGCAGTGAAGATGTGCGGCTGATGAAACCACCTTCTCCAGAGTATCAGCCCCCTGACACACAGCAAGAGGGTGGGGAGGAAGAAGAGATGGTAGTGGCTCAGGAGGCTGTAGCCGTGGCAGAGCCCTCTACCTCTGACTGTATCCGCATCGAGCCTGACACTACTGCTCCAAGTACCAACCATGAAACCATTGATCTCCTGGTCCAGATTCTCCGGTTTGTTCCTTTTGTCTTCCTGCTCCAGGATGACATCAGCGCTCCACGTTTTCCGTGCCATTCTGAGTTCCTGTTTCCATCTCTTTTCCTTAGGAATTGCTTACGGTATTTCCTGCCTCCAAGTTTCCCCATCTCCAAGAAGGAGCTAAGTGTTATGAATTCAGATGAGCTAATATCTTTTCCTCTGGTGAGTCTGTCTGACCTTTGATTTTCCACTGCCTGCCCCTGACACTCTGTGCTTGTTGTGATTACTCTTGGGATGGCTAGCATTAAGCTGTGTGCCCCGCCTCAGCGAGTTCCCCTTTCTTTCTGCTGAAAGAAAGAACAGACTTTATGTTGAGGAGAAAAAGTGGTTTAACCAGATAGGACATGAGTATGCAGGTAGCCAGCTCTACCCTATCAAAGGTGCTAGTAGCTTATCTTCTGTTATGGACAGCATGCCTGTTTTGACATTTTAAGACAAGTACATCTGTTTCCTCTCAGCCACAGCAGAGGGAGTAAATCTGCCCCAGGTAACAGCAAAGAGTTTAGACCTAGAACTTGAGACTGGGAGAGAGGTAGAGAGCAGCTTGTGGCATGTGGAGATGCGTACTGGGACTTGAGTAATCTGGCAAATATGACATATTGCCTTCTCCAGCAGGTCGTCTGCTGGACCTCATAACAGGAGAGTACTGTCTTCAGTGGCTTAAGATGGAGAACTCTGGGTTGTTATCAGGTAGCTGGACAGAAGGCCAAGAGCTGTAAGTGCTGTGGAAATGGCACCTGGGGAAAGGAGAGAGAGCAGCTAGTCCAGAGGAAACAAGGGCTTTTCAAGTGGCTGCCTGTGTAAGTGAAGAGGGCTCTGAGCATGGGACTCAGGTGAACAAAGGCTCAAGGAGCCGAAAGAGAAAGGGGTCAGGGCAGCAGGTTGTAAGATGAGCACTTAGGGGAGAAGGAGCCTAAGAGCAGGAAACAATGCATCTTGAGTGGCCGGGCTAATTATGCTGGCTTTACCTCTGTAGGAAGGAGGGCAAGCAAAGGTTGGAGCTGAAAAAATTGTCAGTCTGACCCATGTCTAGGGGAGGGACTACAAAGCCTTTTTTGTAGATGGCCAGTTAGCAAATAATTACAGGTTTGCAAGCCATATAGTCTTTGTTGAAGCCACTCATCGCTGCCACTACACCATGAAAGCAGCCACAGGCGCTCCATCACAGAATGGGTGTGGTTGTACTGGTTCTAGTGAAGCTTTATTTACAAAAGCAGGTGGTAGGGCCTGGCGTGGTGGCACATGCCTGTAATCTCAGTACTCTGGAGGCTGAGGCAGGACGATCGTTGCAAGTTTGAGACTAGCCTGGGCTACAAAGCTCAAGGCCAGCCCAAATTGCATG